ACTCGCTAACCTGATCCTGAGAAGATTTTTTATTGGAATTTGACAAAAGACATTTCAAAAGGCTCAAAGTTCTTTATTTGAAAACATGCCAACAAGTACATAGCTTCAATTAAACACTGCTGCAACATGCTACATAGTTCGTGTGATCAAATTAAAAGAAAGATAATAGATGTCTTAAGCATGTCTTGAAATTAAAATGACAACAACGATAAACATTAGCCAGACATTAGGTTTGAATTGTACTATTTAAAGAAAAAGAAAACCAGCAGCTGAAGATAGAAAAAATAGCACACATTGCTGCAGTTTTTACTGGTAACGTAGACTATGACAATGACAATTCGTTTGATAAGAAGGCAATACTAGAATTCAATCAAACATCCACTCTGTACCACAAGTTTCCCTATATATCTGTTTGCCAGAGGGAAAAAGGAAAGAGAGAGAGAGAGAGAGAGAGAGTGAAATATCTCCATTAAGAAGATCAATAATGCAACAAGTCAAATCGTACATAGCTAAAACAGATCATATTAGGACTCAAGAGCGTGGGACATATGATTGATTCTTGGAAAAGATTTGTTAAGACAATACCATGTGATCTCTCATGAGGCCTTATCTCTCCCTATAAGCCCCATCACGTAGCCCTCCCTCCACCAATTATTCAAGCAACATAAATCCTTTCATCTACATATATCCATTCTTGCAAACATTTGGAAGCAACACAAATCTTTCACAACATCTTCTAGCATCCAAATTCAAAGACTTGCTTCTTGTTCTCTTCTTTAACATAGTGAAACAATGGGTTTCCGTTTACCTGGAATCAAGAAGACTTCCCCTTCGAAATCCAGTGAAGTGTCGAAGGGGTATCTTGCAGTTTATGTTGGAGAGGAAATGAAGAGATTTGTGATTCCTATATCATACTTGAATCAACCTCCATTTCAAGAGTTGTTAAGTCGAGCTGAGGAAGAATTTGGGTTTGATCATCCAATGGGTGGCCTCACAATTTCTTGCACTGAAGATGTCTTTCTCAACATTACCTCTGGCTTCAATGGATGCTAACTCGTATAGAAATTAGACTAACACATATGAGTTGACAATATATTTTTGTAAAGATTATTTCCTTGTTCTCTATTCATTTTTGGGGAAGTGGAAAGTTGTTCATGTAAACGAGAAATTCATGAATTATCATTTTGATTATTAAAGGCATTGAACTTCTATAACATCTCATGTTTCTTGACTTTTAATAATCAGTAAATTAATATTTTAAGTTACAGTTTTAAATATAAATTGAGATTTAGAAGTAATATTTTAAAAACGAGAGAGAAAGAAAATAACAACATAAATGAAATTTAATGGAAATAAATAAATGTTCTTCTTACTAAAGAGATTATAATTGTTTAATATCTAAGTTAAGTCTGCTCATTTAAATTTTGGAATATGATTTGAGAATTAGTCATCAGGCTTTGAGAGTAAATAAAAATTTTATATAATGAATTAAGGGGACATAAACAAGAGAGGAGATGAAAAGAAAGATGAAGAAATAATAGGGGAAAAAAAGGTAACACCCCACACACAACTTCTAATAATTTCTAAATTCATTTCCCCCTCAGCGCCTTCTTTTTCCGCAATACAGAGAGAAAGCCAAACGACTAATTTCAAGAATTTATAAGTTCTATTTCGTGCTTCTAATCTCTTCAAGTGACAAAACTCAAAAAAAAAAAAACCCTACACAATTAGAGTTTTCTAACAATATAAATATTGAGGGTAGTAGTAGAGTAGGTTCAAGGATTAGGGCTTGGAACAAGTATGAAGTTTTACTAATCAAGAATCATAAGATTGTTGAGAAAAATGAATACTTAAATTTAATAGATTTAGTTTGTTGAATAAGATTGCATTTTTTTATATGGATACGTTAAGATTGAGCCCTAAGTGTAAAATGAGAAATTTTAATTTTTAAAATTAATTATTACTTAGAACTTTGATAATTGATTATGAGCTTCTCAAAAATACACATTAGAAATTGTTTGTGGTATTGAATTATAAGTTTGAGTAATTTTTCTAATTTTGGATGAATTAATGCGAACTTTTGAGGTATCTTTTATATGAGCAATCTAGACAATGCTTGGCAAAGAAATTATTTCAGTTAAAAACTTTAGCTAATAAGCGTCTTATTTAAATTTTTATGATAATTATAATTGATCTTAGTTCTCTTAACTGTTTGAGATTCTTACTCTAAAGATAAACTTTTTGGTATAACTATGGGATATGAGCTTTTTTGTAGTTTTTGGGAGTAGTTTGGACGTAAAAAAAAAGTTATAAGATGATTGGAATTATAAGATTCATTTCGTATATTTGAATTTATATATATATATATATATATATTACTCTCTTCATTTAAAAATATAAGACATTTTTAATCAAATTTTACTTTCAATAAAGTAGTTACCTACTTTCAAACTAACTTTATCTTTTTATATTTATCCCTATTAAACTTTTTACAATAAATATAAATTCATTTATCAATAGAGATACTTAAAAAAAAAAGACAATGATTATATTCCAAAAGATTAAAAATACCTTACATTTTTAACATTAACTTTTTAAAAAATATTTTATATTTTTGAATGGAGGGAGTATATAATTGGAAGTATAATGATAAAATTTAAAGTTTAGTATTTTGGATGTTAATCATAAGTTAATGAATTTTCAGTATTTTGTATAATTTGGAGGATTCAATGATAAAATGAGGTTTTCAATGAATGATGGAACTAAGAAAATATGATTTAGAATTCAAATGAAGAATTTAAGAATAAGAAGTCAGCATAGTTGTCAAAATTTTAAGTGGACCCTCTGAGTTTAACATTTTTACCCTTTTAACTTATAAAATCATGACAATTCACTCATAAATTAAGATTAAATACAAATTCGATTAAACTCATGAATTTACATTCAAGTTTACCGTTTTTACATCTTTATGTTTATAACTTTGAGTAATGTAAATTTAGAGTTATCATCAATTAAAAATTAAAATTGATAATTAAGAGTTCAATTGAATTGATAAGGCTAAATGATGATTGGAAATTAGATATGAAATTATATATGAACCCAAATGGTAATAATTGGGGTTTTAAACTTATATATTAGCTTAACTATCTTTCAAGAAATTGTATGCTAATGATTATCTATATAACTCATTTAGGCTTATTTTAATTACAATCTTAAACATGGGGTTCTCAAGAATTGTGATACTTTTATTTGCTTTGGTGAGAAGTAGCCAATTTCCTGCTTATTGTGCATACTTTTGCATTTTTGTAAGTTATTTTTTAAATGTATAATTTGATATGATTTATTGAAAAATTTATAGTATGTTTTGATGAAATTGGAACATGAGTTATGTTATGAAAAATTTTACTTTGATACATGGAATTACTTGGTGAGATTTATGTTTTTTTGTTGAAAAATTATTATAGAATACTAATACAATGATTGATTTGAAAATGAATTAAATTTGAAATTGTATATGAGTATTATGATTTTGAAATGAGTGCCTGTATGATATAAGATGTTCTTGATTAGTATTTTAAAAAAAAAAAAAGCATCATTTTTTGCTAGAAAGCCAACTTCCAAGTCAGTGGAAGTGCCAAAAGGCTATTTTGCAATATATGTTAGAGAAAAAAAATGAAGCGATTTGTGATTCCCATATCATAGTCAACCTTCATTTCAAGATTATTGAACCAAGCTGAAGAAGAATTCGGATATGATCATCTAATAGATGGTCTCGCAATTCCGTGCAGAGAGGATGTGTTCTTAGATCTTATTCTTGTTTGAAAGGACTATAATTGATGCTGAGGGAGAGTGGCGTAAATTACCCGAGGCGATTTTGTACGGAAGGATTCTTTTTTATCATCCCTCTATAGGAGGAAAAGGCTAAATAAATATTGAATTGGATAGTTTCGGACATAATTTTTTTTTTAATTTGCTTTTTTGTTGTTGTCATGTTGCAATGAATTTTGTCCAATTTCAATGGTTATATACAATATCTCTGTCATGTTCATGTTCTTCAAATTATTTACAGCAAACCTTTCCGTTCCTTTTGTGTGTGCGCGCGCGCGCGCGTGTGTAAAATGGTATGCAACGGTTTGACACATAAAATTTGTTCAATGAATGAGAAATTTGTGAACAGAGCAAATCTACTATGTTGATAACATCATAACATGGTTGGGTTATAACAGAGTTGAGCGTGTTAGTCTATGACTCCTATTTTCATCCTTATGAAACACTGTTGATTTCATCTTCCTTTAAGGAGAGTTGCAAGGTTCTGTTATGGTTGACAACATCATAAAATGAGATGATATTGTACTTTGTCCAACACATATTCCACATTTATCATAAATATTTGCCATAAAGTGACTTAGCCTACAGCTATCAACAAATTTTTACGGGGTGTATGTGTTGTCACACAAATGTAAGTGGCCCATGTAATGTTTGAAACATGCCTTAAACAAGAGCAGCTATGGCACAAGGCATGAACAAACCCTCTAGAAAAACAAGAGGGAATTTTTCAGTGTATGTTGGACGTAAAACAAATTCCCTGCTATGCTAAACTTCAATTCATGATTTGTTGAGTGAAGTAGAGGAAGATTTTGGACATGATCACCTGACTAGTTTATCTGAGGGAAGATGCCTTCAGAATTATATAGATTTAACCATCACGAGACAGAGTCACATGCAACTGATCCATCTGCTTCCCTTACTTCTATACAACAAGAAACTGGCTTAGTTTGGTGCCCAACTTCAACAAGGACCTCTACTTTCTCATTGGGATAAGCGGGGTCCTGTATACTTGATTTCTCACATGAAGTTTGAGCACAATGTGTCCCCACATACATAAAGTCTCAACCACTAGATTTGAGGACAAAGCCACGTGATCCTTCAAATACTTGTTACACAGATCATCTCTCACCAATTTTTCTTCCACATTCCTTGCACACCACTCGTTACAGAGATCACAATCTGCTCAAGTACTCAACCCCCGCCGTCTCTATAAATACACCCACACACCATCCTCCATGTATCTCATCAAGTTTTCTCACATTGCTTATAAACAAATCAATCTTCTTCTCTCATTGAAACAATGGCTATTAAGCAGATCCTTCGTAGGTCTTTTTCAAGAGGGAAAGAAGGAGCTTCGATGTCTACAAAGGTTCCAAAAGGGCATTTCGCAGTGTATGTAGGAGAAGAGCAAAAGAAGAGGTTTTTAGTACCTGTATCATGCTTGAACGCACCTGAGTTCCAAGAATTGCTAAGCATGGCTGAGGAAGAATTTGGGTTTGATCATCTCATGGGTGGTCTCACAATTCCTTGCAGTGAAGATATCTTCATCAATCTTACTTCTCGCCTTGTACCATAATGTTTTTCCCATCTGCACTTGATCATGAAGGTTCCAATTATACCATGTCAAGATCACAAATGGTTCGACTTCAAAGCCTACGCAGTTGAATGCAGGCACAAATGTTACAACTTTGGAAAGAGTGAAAGTAACAGCCAGTTAATTTGTTGTTTAAGCTCTAGGAGATTTCATGGTTGGAGCATTTGTCTCAAGGGGAACAAAAATTGTAATTCTTCATCTAAAGGAAGGTGGCAGAAACACCTCCATTGATCTGCTAGTAACATCTAGCTCCCCAGCGAAGACATAATTACACAATGCCAGAGCTGCCCCAATAATTCTCTTCATTCTTTGATCCGGAAAATTGAATTGTAACACAGATAATGTGAATTGTAAAGTTTCATTCATTAATTGGAAAAAAAATAATATTGAAATGATTTTTCTCTATTCAAAACTGTTGGATTAATGTTACCCATTTATTTGTCTATTCATGCTGCATTTCCACGCCATACGTTGAATATGAGAATAGAGTGAGAAGTGGTAACAAAACTTTTTCAGGGAACTTCACTTAACACATCATTGTCGGCCTATCCCTTAATTATCTTACACTTCAATTAAATTTGTTGTGATATAACATGATATGAGCATCGCTGTCGAGGTTTGTTACAATAAATATTTTTTACCTATGAGTAAAACTCGAGATAGTTGAGTGCAAGGTTAGGTTACCCAATTATGCACAATTAAAAATTAAATGTCCAAGAATTTTAGGCCAATAAGAGAGTGCTTTTAATGTTGAAAACAATAAGGTTTTGATGGGGACTATGTTGGAAAAGACCTCTCCTGTTCTTCACGGGTTATTGTCTTCCAAGTTGTGGTTGTAACGAAAGCAACAGTGCAAGTGACTACACCGAAAGACGTCTATAAGATGCAACCATTTTCTGCCTATTGTGCAACTTCTGGCACTAGTTGGGATGTACTTTTCACTTAAATTAACTGATTAGAGTAAAAATTCACCAAAATAAAATTAAAGCTCTTGGGGTTTACTCCCAATATTGATGAAACTTCATGGCTTCAAAAGAGTTAAAGAATATGAAATCAAAAATGATCCAGCGGACAGATGGTCAAGTTCATCTTGGCTCAGGGCTGGTAAAAGTGAGTCATATAATCTAAACTCAATCCAGGTTCAGTTAAAAGCCAAAATTGATTGGGTTGAGCTTCAGTCATCACTCCATACTATTTCCAAAGTTGAGATGAGTTCTTTATTTAACACTAACATTACATGATTTCTTCTCGGGAGCTATTTTCCTTCTTAAGAAACCAAGTTACCAAATATGTCAGTAGCAACATGGCAATAAGTAAACACAAACAGGTGACAGTTAAATTGTAAATAAAAGCTGCGACATATATGTCTCTGAATTTAGTTTCTGGTTTGGGGTGCCTAATTACTGAGCCATCACAAGACAGAGTAACATGCAATTTGTACGTCTGCCCCCTTTGCTTTCTTCTCAGATAAGTTGTGTCCTTAGTATACGGTCGTTGGCTTTTCCAGACACAACCACGTGATCCTTTAAATGCTTTTGCTTATGTCTCCCCAATGTCAATTCTCCTCTATCACACGCCACATAGTGCAGACATTACAACCTACTTGCATAGCTACCAATTCATCTCTATATATACACACACCCATTCACCATTCTCACACATCTCATCGTCAAGTTTTCTCACATTTCTCACAAACAAATTAACTTTCTCCCATAGCAACAATGGCTATTAAGCAGATCCTGCGTCGTTCTCTTTCAAAAGGGAAAGAAAGGCCTTCCATGTCTCCTAAGGTTCCAAAAGGGCATTTTGCGGTGTACGTTGGAGAAGAGCAAAAGAGGAGGTTTGTGGTGCCTATAGCTTTCCTATACGTGCCTGAATTCCAAGAGTTGCTGGGCATGGCTGAGCAAGAATTTGGGTTTGATCATCCGATGGGTGGCCTCACAATTCCTTGCAGAGAAGATACCTTCATCAATCTCACTTCTCGCTTCGCACCGTAAAGTTTTTCTTTGTTTCATCTGCTTCTCTTATGAAACCATGAAAAATGGAGACCACTTGTGAAGATATTCAAGTGGCAGAACGTGGGATGAGAACGATGCCAAGCAGTTTGCTGCGCAATCTTCGAGAGATTTCATGGTTGAAGCATTCGTCTGGGTGGAGAAGAATACTTGTAAGTTTCATTGATCAAGGCAAGGATCAATGATCACTCAGAACTCGAAGCAAAAGCCTTCATTGGCTTTCTAGTAACATCTAGCTCTCAAGAGATGAGACACGGTTATTCAGTTTTCCGCATTTTTCGAGGAGGAGTGAATTGTTACACAGATTATGTGATTGAAATGAAATTTACTATTGAATTTTGCAAATGACTCCATTCATTCTATACTTTTCTGATCTCTAGTCTACATTCATAAATCTCAATGCTTTCAAAGATCAATTAAGCCGTTTGAATATGAGAACAAGATGGGTAAAATATCGTATCATGACATAAATTCAAAGTGATTTTGGACTAAAATGAGTAAAAGCATATCCATTAGACACGATTAATAACTGGAAATAATCTATGCCACCTTGCAAACTCTATCCTTGTCTCCGATGACTTTAGGGAAAGATAATGAAAGCTTTACTGTTGAAAACGATTATGGGCACTATCATCTAAAAGGACTTTTCATGCTTTTTTATGGCTTTTGCTTTCCAATTTGTGTGTGGGATCACATTAGCACACTGTAGCTAAAGACGTCAGCAAAACGCAACTATTTTCTGCCTCTAGGGATGTGCCAATTAAATTTATCATTATTTTATATATTAAGAATTTTTTTTTTTTACATGCACAACCAGTTTACATATTATGGATACGCATACGTACTTCGAATGTTGATATATCTCAATGCTTGTATTATATCTCTTTGTAATTGATTTAGAAAATGACGAATGGCGATGAGCAGATGTAGAAGGGGAAAAATGGTATGGGGAAGGGAATGGATGAATGATAAACTTCAAAGGTAACAAGTATATATTCTAATTCATCCGATTTCATATGTCCAACGTGAATTTCTCCAAATCAGCCCAAATATTTGACTCTACAATTCAATTTTTGCAACAATGCCATCTAACTAAGAATCACGCAGCTATCAAGAAGGTTCATGGTTACCTGGTCACAACGGGCATGCTCTTTGTTTCGCATGACTTTGACTCTGAACTCATAGCCACTTATACCAAATGCTTTCCCAGGAGCAAGCTTCAAACCTTGACTAATCTCTTCAAATGCATCAACTCTGCAACTCCATTGTACTTCAATGCCATAATATCTGATTTCTGTCAGAAAGGTTTACCTTTTCTTGCTCTCAGAACTCTCTCCTTCATGCATACGAATGGAGTCCCGTTCGATTCGTATACTCTGTGTAGTTCTTTGACTGCCTCATCTAAAACTAAAGATATCACGTTTGGAAAACAGATTCATGCCGTTGGGGGAAAGTCAGGTTGGTTATCTAGTGTTTTTGTGGGTTCTGCTCTCATTGATTTGTACGCGAAATTCTCACATGTAAAAGACGCAGTCCTTATGTTCGACGAAATTCCCCACAAGAATACTGTTTGTCTCAATGCACTTTTGGCAGGTTATGGTGAGGCTGGACTATGGGTCCAAGAACTTGAACTGATTAGGAAAATGCCCATGTTGGAATTGAAATGTGATCACTTTACATTATCAGCTGCTTTACGCGCATGCACTGGATTATCTGCAATTGAAATGGGCAGACAAGTGCATAGTTATTTGCTTCGTGCTGTGCATAACGTAGAGAGTGATGTGTTTCTCCTGAGTGCTTTAGTTGAGATGTATGGCAAGTGTGGCCTGGTGAAGAAGGCTTGGCAGGTCTTCAAGTTGACTGGAATGCAAATAAGAGGTGAAAAAAGTAAAGACATTGTATTATGGACTTCAATGCTTGGGGTGTACAGTAGAAATGGCTATTACAAGGAAGTATTTGCCTTGTACAATGAAATGTTAGCAAAAGGTATCAGAATTGATAGGATAGCATTTCTGATCGTACTCTCAGCTTGTAGTCGCACAGGGCAGTTACAAGATGGAATCAAGTATTTTGAATCCATGTCTAATGACTTTGAAATAGACCCTGGTCCAGAGCATTATAGCTGCCTAGTTGATTTGCTTTGTAGGGCTGGTGAATTGCAGAAGGCATGGGAACTATTGAGTGAGAAACACGACAAGAGAATGGGAAAGTCTAGCATATCCATGTGGGGAGCGCTACTTAGTGCTTGTGTGGATCAAGGGAATATTGAATTGGGAAAATTGGCAGCTGAAAGAGCTCTTGAGTTGGATCCCCAAACTGTTGGGGTTTGCGTTATGCTATCAAACCTATATGCCCGGTTTGGCATGTGGGATGAGATTGGGAAGTTGAGGAGGGTGTTAATTAGAGAAAGGGGGTTAAAAAAAGATGTTGGCTACAGTTGGGTCCTGGTGACGTGTTAATCACTAAGTTGCTTGGAAATGCTCCAAGTAATATTCTTGTTCCTCTCTGAGCTTGCTGATATATAGGCCTCTGTTCCAAATTCTGAAGATACATCTGATTAGATGTAGTAATGTATATTATTACATAAGTCTCTGTACCAAAAGAAGGTAAGACTACAATTAGAAACAGATTAATTACTAAATGTTGATTTGCCATTTGACATCTTTCATGAGTTACATAAAACGTCGTGAACTGTGTATTTTATACTGGTCTTAGCTGCTCAGAAACACTATGACCTGTGAACTTACACATCTCACCAGCATTAAGAGCATGAATATGGTGATTATCTGGTCTCCAGTTGCAAATTTTTATCAGAATACAATTGGAGATATCATTGCCATTGACGCATCAATCTCAAACATTTAGCGGAGAGAACTAGAAGTTAGCGCTGACCCTAAAGGATATGTCGGGCTGAAGCATTTGTCTTGGTTTTATTCAGTAATTAACATGTGTAATTCCATCTCTTTTACTGCTAGAGCTTTTTACATATCCCCATCTATGGAGGTTGATGACATAATTTCACTTTCTTGTTGAATACATACGTTTTTTGCTTGAAGATTTTGAATGATCTTAACCTCGAAAGCTTAATAAAAAATGGATGAGTCATTTCCAGATGTCTAGGATTCAAGCTCATAAGCCTAATCTCAGATAAGGGATGAATTTGATAAATGAACAGCATCGGTATAGTTAGGATATCTTGGACTTAGACTTTTCCTTTTAGTCAATATAGAAACATTATAAATTCCTCATATTAAGCTGTATTTGGTGGATGTTCTTTTCTATCTTCCTCTTTTTTTTGTCCGCAATGTTGTAATTTTCCTCTTAGTGCTTGTAAAAAAAGGCTGGCTTTCTTGTTAGGAGGGACTGAAAGAAAATGTTTTAATGTGTGTGTCCGTGTAGAGACACATAAATATTTTCTCCTATTAAGACCTAATTAAATTTAGTGTACGGTTGAGCGAGGTTGATGCTTGTGGTGTTCAGGTATTTGCAATTAAATTGGAATGTAACTAACACATGCATAATTAATTAGGTGGGTTTTGTACTTGAGAAAGGATCCTACCGTGATGCTTTTTAGAGCCACGAAACTACAAAGTGTGCTTCTTATCCAGGGAGGGCCCTTGTTTGTTGGGGCAGTAGGTACCTTCGTTCGTGCTACTCATGGCTTCTGATGGGCTGTGCATGTGATTCCCTCGTTTGATTTGATTGGTTTAACTATATGAAAGAAGGATAGAGGAAAAAGATTAGCATTTTCGATTATAACTTTATAATATCATTAACAGTTTTTTCATCAAATTGAAACATCTGGCAACCTAACATGTACGAGCCTAAACTTTCACACTCTGCATTACGAATAAGCCCCCAGGTGGTTTCATCAGTAGTCTCTCACCATCTAGTACAGAACATGGCTCGCGCAATTGTAGGCTTCAGATTGGGAAGGTTCCCAACGTGTAGGAGTTCATGCGGGTATGATGCTATTCGTTCTTTTAGATAAATGTTACTATGTCTCGTCTCAATTCAATCTTTCATAACAACCCACTATTGCATCACATGGTCCTGGTGATATCACTGAAAGCTAATACTGCATCCCATTTTCTCTGATTCCAACCATAACCAGCCACCATATCTGCAACATTTTAGGATATACATTCCCACATTTGGAGGTTTGTACTCTATTTTTAGCATTGATTCGATTCGACAACAAAAGGCAACAGGGAAATGACAATAATGGTAAATCGTACAGTGCATTCAACAATGGCGTGTGATGTTCCTAATGGGGTGGAGTGGGGAGGGAAGGACGTACAAATTTATTTGGAGGAAGATAAGTTTTTTTTTCCCCTTCAAGTGCTTGTAAATGTTCTTACAGTGCCTTACTATGTTGTCCTAACCAGGCCAGAGGATCTTGGAGGCAAGAGAAACATGGCCTTCATGTGCTCAAGGAAAGGTCAGGTCACCATCATCTCAAAAAGAATATCCCTCCTTTGATTTCGTCTCACAATAATTACCAATACCTATATATGCCACCGATACGTTGAGTTTGTATTTTATTTTTCCCTAGCTTTTTTTGTTATACAATCTTTATACGGTTTAAGAAGACCGGAAATGTGAGCCGCGTGCATAATTTTACTCTGTTTCGCTCGCCATTTGAAATCTATTAACACTTGCTGTGAAGAATTCTAGAATTGATGACAATTTTGGGCAATTTGATCCCTTTCAAGTTTGCTCTGACACCTTATGTTGGTTGTACACAGCCAAGAAAAATATTACAGGTAGAGTGATATTAAATATTTCATTTGCTTCCCTTAAAAAATTTTGACTATCCCAACCCCTTCAAAAGAAAAGAAAAGAAAATTCATGTGTCCCAATAAAAAAATTTGCTTATTCCCTAAAAAAATTACTTCACCAAAATCTTATCTATATGTTATAATCTTGAATAACTAGAGTTTTAGAATGGAGCAATAATTTAGAAAATAATTTTCTTTGATAGTATAAGTTGTAAATTTTATCACAAAAAAAGATAAGCAAGTTTTCATGTTATTATAATTTTATATTTTATACATAGCTCTTTAGTTGTACTTTCTCTATTCAATATTATAAGAAACTTTTAACCGTGTTACATTCTTGATAAGTTAATTAATTATTTTTAAAATTATACAGTTATTTTTATGTTTATCCTTGTTTAATAGAATTTTCATTAAAAACTTTATTAATTTCACCCTTTTATTGAAGATATTTTTAAAAGAACTTCATTAATTACATATTAAAAGACTCAAAATAGTTTATATTTTTTAATATATTATCTTAAAAAAATGCCTTACATTTCTATACATAAATTTTACCCTCACTGACTAATTTTTCTAGTTCCATCGTTGTACAATAAGATGATACTTGTATCTGAATTATTTCTATGACTCTACAGAGCACCACAAATTGAAGAAAATGGTGGGCCTTTCTAACTGGTCCAATTAATCTCATTCACAGAACATGAAAGAGTCTTGGGAACGATGGCGACATGCAGCATGACGGCAACTCTTTTTTCGTATAAAATTAAAACCTAAAACTGATCGCTTTCTTGCATCCAAATAACAATTTTAGAACAAACAAACAGGGAATGAATAAATAAATAAACAGTACCGAATTATGAGGTAAATGAATAGAGAACATAGATTTTAGAGGTTATCTTATACTATAGATTGAAGGGCGTGTCTTACATGCGCAAATTGCATATTAGTTATTTGAATTTTTGCCCCTCGGAGTAAGATCAGGAGTGTTTGGCATTGAGAATGCTAGCAGCTTGAGGGACAGATCTTAGAAGTGACGGACACTGCTGTAATTTTGGCTCCTAATATCAGCTTGTGAGCCTTGGAAACATGTCCAGGTAAGGAACAAGATGAATTTAAATTGTCTATAAGAAACTTCAAAAATATATCGTAAGTTTTTAATTTTGCAAGACATAAAGAAACACCAGCATTTTAGCGCATAATATTAGATATGATATATTTACCAATGATAGTTAAGTCAAGTGAAATGCATCAAATAACCTTGAAGTGAGATTTTGTGTTTGAACTTTGAACATTGTAAAGGAAAACTAAAAAGGGCCAAAAAAAAAAAAAAGATTGAGACATGACTACATGGGGAGGGTAGAATTGTTGAAAGGCACTAATTTTGAGAAACAAACAGAGCATTAGTGGATGGTCCGAAATGTACGGAGGTTGATGAATGGAGAAGCATGCACTTGCTCCTTTCATTGCCACCTTTGTCATTCTCTGATCCCATCCTTACTTTGTGTTTTCACTCCCTACTTTTAATATCTATGGCTTCCAAGACCTAAAGCAACAACCTACCAGTCCCTTCATTGAATGAAACCAACCTCTTCCACTTCCTATACGAAGCAAAACCATATATATGCATATAGGCTTAGCTGGTTTATCTGTCTGTGAAGCACAAAATTACTAGACAAGCTATTTGTGTTGTGTGTAATATTGTAATTGAAAGGGAGATTACAGAGGACACAGAGACACGAGATGTGGGATGGGAGGAACGAAAGGACAAATTTTGTAGAGCAATAGATTAGACGGTGATAGGCTTAAGATCACGCAATGAAATAATGGATGGGCAGAGAAACAAGTACTATGTGAGAGCTGACACTGCAGCATAAATTATGTACAGTAATTTGCTAACAAGTGTGCCTGTTAGGAAGATGGAATAGTTAATGAGGTCAAGATCAGGTGAGAAGGAGGAACAGATGCATGGATCTCCGTGTGAAAAAAAATATGGCGTTTGCAGTAGAAAGAAAACAAAAAAGTTTCTATGAATTTAGTTTCAAGAGCCCATAATCAATTCAACGTGATCAAAATCTTTGTCCTAATAACCAGATCCAGGTGGTTTTAACTTTGGTTATAAATATTTGTTAGGAATTAAGTGATGAAGTCCACAGGATCACAAGGCTCAACAATCAGAAAAAGCCAAAACTCTCACAACCCTTCACGGGTTGTACCCAAAGAGTAGAGTTAATCTTGTAGGGTCCGTGAATTCTGGTAGAATCAAAGTGAGGCATCCATCATACCTTCATAATCATAAGCTTAAGCTAATAATGGACTGCACACGATTTAATCAAATTTAGGGTCATTATTTTTTTTGGGAATTCACTAAAGTGCTGCACCCCACACAATATTTAGGGTCATTATATGTATTTTTTTTGGGCTTGTGGTGGCAGTTGCCCCCTCTATGTTACAATGTGTTTAGAGACCGCTTTTCCTCCGCTCAAGTTTGGAAGAAAATTTTACAAGTTGACTCATTTCAGGAATTCTCTAAGTTTGGCTCTAGTGATTGGTTCTTGAACACCCAAAAATCAACATCACTGGACATCTCATGGAAATGGGGATCAGCATTATCTACTGAGCTTTGGAAAGCAAGAAGGCTACGGATCTCCACTAATGATGCCCCCACAGTGGACTATTTTCTCATTCGGGTCCAGGCAATTGTTAGTGTTATAATAAAGCATTTTCTACTTTTATCTCTTTGATGTAATTTTGCTCTCTCCGTTTTCTGGCTTTGTACTTTTGGAATCTCTGTACAGTTCTCTCTAAGTTAATGCAATCCTTTTACGATTAAAAAAAAAAAGAATTCATCCTTCAAGACTCCACGGATGAAATACTTATTATAGCCAAATTATTATTTAGCAGCAAAGATATCTTTTTTATTATTTTTATTTAAAAAATATTATGTGTACGAAAAATAAAAGTAAAAGTAATAATAAGGGATAGCGGGGCCCATTCGCCAGATGCAGGAGCAACTTAACATAGGAATAGCCAGTGGGGTTGGGCCCCACCATGTTCTCCCCAAATTACACTTACCCGTGGTCTGTCCATGGCCCCCACCCTCCACATGAGTGATGACCCTCTTCTTTTTCCAAATTGGGACCCTCATGGATCTTTTTATGAATTTTCATGTTTTTTCCCACTGCTCATGTAATTGAATTGAATATTTTAAAACCACCGAAAAAAAAAAAAAGATTGATCTGCCATAATTTCTCCACCCAAGCTCTTCATAATAAATACCCCATTCATCCAAGCCATTCCTGCCATCACCACTGAACTCTCTTGTTCCCACTTCTCTGATATCCTCATCCATCAACTCCTCTGCTTCTCTCTGCCTGTGTCTCACAGAGAGAACATAACATGGCCATTAGAAAAGCAAACAAGCTTCCCCAGAGTGCAGGAATAAAGCAAATCCTGAAAAGATGTTCAAGCTTAGGAAAGAAGCAAGGTTACGAGGAGGAAGATGAAGATGGGGTAATCCCGGTGGACGTGCCAAAGGGCCATTTTGCAGTGTATGTGGGAGAGAACAGGACAAGGTACATTGTGCCCATCTCCTTCTTGACGCACCCTCAATTCCAATCCCTCCTCAGGCAAGCTGAAGAGGAATTCGGATTCCATCCCCACATGGGCCTCACTATTCCCTGTGAAGAAGTTGTCTTCAAGTCTCTCACCCAAATGCTCCTATGACTCCCTCTTTCTTCATGGTTTTCAACGAGAACAAGAAGAACAAGATGCTGATGATGACCAGGATGAAGCTGCATTTTTTGCTTCTCTCTCTCTCTCTCTGTTTTTTTTAAGAGTGCGTCTCTCATTCTTTCCTTCATTTTTTTAAGGGTTATTATCACGTGACTCTGACTTAGGACCCGTGAGCATTTCTAAAAGTTGTATAAAGGTCTGAGATATTCCTCACAGAGGTTGAGAAGTTGGTTGTGCCTATGAAAGCTGCGCTTACTATGTGCCCTAAGCCCTTAACTTGTTCTTCTCTTCCTTTTCCTCTCTTTATCCACATGGGGTTCTGCAAGATTAAGGCAAAGAAAGAATCGTAAATATTGAATATCCCACAACCAAAGAAAGAAGAGGAAACAGGGCGTGCATAGCTTGTCAGAGAAGATGCGGTACCCAAGATGTACGGATCTCGTGCGCGCGCAGTTGCTGTTGCCTTTTGTTACCCCACCTACAAAACAAAAGAATGTCCCACCTCCATGTTAATATACTCCCTCAATTTTTTATTATTAGATGAAATACTCACTCACTTTTTATTTATATTTTTTAAAAAAATTAATTATTTAGTCTTTATAATTTTGATCCAATTATAACTCAATTTTTTAATTTTCATTCATTATAACTCAGTTCTAAACTTTTAATTCAGTTGTAAATTAATTTTTAAATTTTATCTCTTGCAATTTAATCCATGAAATTTTAACCTTTTAAATATTAATCTTTATATTTTTAAAAATAAAATTATAGGGATTAAAAACATTTTAAATTCTTAATATTAAAAGGGTTTAATAATTTAAAATATCAGTAATAAATTTTAAAATATTTTGAATCCTTATAATTTTATTTTTTAAAATATAGGGACTAATATTTAAGAGGTTGAAATTTTAGATACTATATTGTAAGAAGTAAAGTTCAAAAACTGATTTGAAACTGAGTTATAACGAGTTAAAGTTAAAAGATTAAGTTACAAGTGGATCAAAACTATAAATATTAAATGATTAGTTTTTTCTATTTTTTATAAATAAAATCACTCATTTCAATAAAATTTATTCTACATTTTTTAAACCACCCCTTATAATTTACACTAATAAAAAATAATTAGTGTATGCTTATAATTTACACAGGGCATTTAAGTCTTTTTTTTATTTTCAAATATAATTATTACAACTGACCAATTTTTTAAAAATGTATGATGCAGTTTTTTTTTATAAAAACAGAGGAAGTATGAATGTTGGCGAATATGTTGGCGAACCAAGTTATTGAAAATCTCTCATATGAGTTGAGAGAACCAAGCCAAAGCTTTGGATAGTTAAAAAGTCTGCCATTAAGGTCCTCAATAACATGCAATAGTTGACATTGAACTAAAAACCAGAAATGAACATAAGCGAAATATATGGAAACATAAAGTGAGTTTGCATTCGCATGTCAAGTTAAGGTTTTGATCATTGGAAACATATGGAACGAAACCAAGGTAAGAAAAATCTTTCTGTTCGGGTAGAAATGATGTGGGAGACCGAGGGACATGATGCCAGCGAGGATAAAGTGCATGACCAACGTAAAAAATGTGGCTGAATTATCGATATTGTTTAAAAATAAATAAATTTCTCTATTTGCAATTGTTAATTGTGTCATTTTTTAAAAGTATGTTTTATTTCATATATATAATATTTTTACTCTATTCATAAAATTTACAAAACCATAAAATTAGAAAAAGTAATGAATACTTTATCTTTTTAAACAAAGTGATTTATAAAAATAATCATACATTCTTATTAAAAATGATTTATAATATATATATATATATATATATATATGATGAGAGGGAATATTTGTATTATGTTTGTTAAAGAAGCTAGTAGGTTGGGAGCAAAAGGGAGTAAGTATGTTCAAAATCGATCCAAATCGAAAGAACCGACCCAAACCAATCCAAACTGAAAGAAATCGATTAAAACTGAATAATAATCAAGTCTGCTTCAGTTTTTATGATATGAGAATCAATTGGTTCGATTCAAGTTCGGTTTGAATACTATAAACCAAACCAAACCGAGTCAGACCTGATTAAAAAATACTATTTATATATTTATAAAATATACAATTATTTATCTACAAGAAGCATTTTGTTTTAAATTTTTTATAGTAATATATAAATATTTTTAAAGGACTTGAATGAAAATGTATAATATTAAATAATTATAATAATCATGCCATGACCATCATTTAATTATTTACAACTTGAAACCCTTAGTATTTAATTTATCTATAAGAAGCATTTTGTTTTTAATTTTGTATAATAAGTTTTTTATTATTTATTAAAATATAGATACATAGATAAACATTTTCAAAGACTTGAATGGAAATGCATAATATTAAATAATTTTAATCTTAAAAACTTATATCAATTTTTATGATTAATTATTGTTATCACATTACAATTTTATTATATTTTTATACCTCTATTACGAAAAAAAAGGATTAAAAAAGAATTAGATTTAATTTTAATACATAGCCCCATCATGAAGATGAAAAAAAAGAAAAAAAATTAAATAAGTGTATTGAAGCCTGATCCAAACTTTAACCAAATCAAGTCAAACTAAAAGTAAAGCCAAACCAAATTGAGCTCCATAAAAACTGATCAGGTTTTAATTATGAATAAACTGAATGGTTTGATTCGATTTGATTTTTGCCCAAAATAAAACTAAACCAAGCCTATGAACACCCCTAAAAAGGGGAGAGGGAAGCAGTGATTATGGGCTTGTTTGGTTTTTGTTTTTAAAAACAAAAAAAAAAATATGAATCTTGGTTAGATTAGTATTTTAAATTTAATTGTTTCAGAAATTTTTTATTTAATTTTTTTTAAAAAATAGAAATATCATAAAATTATTTTCATTTTATTTTTCTTGTTTTCAAAATATATTACATTTTATTATTGAAAACTAAAATTTTTTTAATCATCACTATTGACTAATCTTTTAATTTCAAAATTATTTTTAAATTAATACAACCGAATAATTTTTTTGTTCTTAAAAATAGTTTTTAAAAATTAAAACAAAAACCAAACATGCCCTTGGGTTGCAGGATAGAAAAGACGATGAGGTGAATTATTTGAAATAAAAGATCTGGAGGTACTTTTTAAAAATAACTTGACTTTATGGTCCTTGGTGGCAATTTCTACAAAAGAGAAGGAAAGCAAGGAGGAAAGGTTGCAGGCTGGAGCGTTATTTTGAACAAGGTACATAAAACCGAACTGATCATTGAATCGGTCATGGCACTGGGTCATGGGTTAGTAGTTCAATTAGAGTTGAACCGGGGGTTGAATCAGTGGCAAACCAGTCATGATTAAAATAATACAATTTAAATAAAAAGACATTAATTATAAAAACGTTCAACCAAATACTAGACTTCAAATATCTATCCTTACAATGATAAGCTTTCTATCATATGATTAACATGTCCATGGTAACTAATATTGACCAACACCAAAGTCATCATTAACTTTATTCAAATCTCCAGGCATTGAGACATTAGGACTGGAATGAAAAAAACCAAAACCACTAGCAACATCAGGCAAAGATGGGGGCTCTAGAACATTCATATATTCATCACCTACAACAAACAGAAATTAATACTAATGAATGGCATTTTAAAAAATTCATATACTTGTATTAGACATGATAGTAAATTTAATAAACCTTCATAGTCCCTCTCAAGAGTTAATGGAGTAGCTATGGATTCATTGTGAATGACACTTTCAAGATTTGTAACTTCTTGAGAATCAAACTCAGGAGCTGGCTCTTCCTCTTCTTCAGCCACCCAAAAGTCAATTTTGTCAATTGATTCATAATCAATAGGATCATAACTTTTATTTTTCCTCAATTAACTCCTTGAAAAAAAAATAAAGCAATTAAATATGATAAGCAATAATAAAATTCATATTCAATTATAAATTACAAAAACATTGCCATTTAAAACTCTAATTCTTACCTATGCTTCAATTGCAGATTATAATTTGTAAAAACCAAATCATTCAATCTTTGATGTTGTAATCTATTTCGTCTTTGGTATGGATGCGTTCAAACAAACTCCAATTTCTTTCACAGCCAGAAGAAGAAGAAGTTTGGCTAAGAATACGCATTGCAAGAGTTTGCAATTCTAGAACAGAACCTCTATAGAATGACCACCATTCATTTGCAAATAAAAGACACTTAGTTAGATGTTAATCATACGATAACTAGAATTACCATGGACATGTTAAATAATAAATATGAATACTCACAAGGATCTAATTTCTGGGCTGCTTTTTCACATGAAGTTTTGTTAAAAGATTCTTTATGATCACGATACAAGCTCAACTGCTTCATCATCATAATATAATCAATTTCTTCACTTTCATTTGACTCAAACACATCAAGCATTGCATCCATTAACCTTCTCTTGTGAACAAAATTCTCATCATACAAGAATGCAGGATTCAACAAATATGCCGCTGTATGAAGATTTGTCTTAAAGTGCTTATCCCATCGAGCTTGAATAATACTTGTGTAAGGCTTGTAATAATCTTTCTTATTGTTGAATATTGCCTTAATTGCTTTTTTTGCCCTTTGCATGCCTTCATAAACATAAGGCAAAGAAGGCTTCTCATCTGAATCCACAATTCTCAACAACTTTATAAGAGGAGACACAACTTTCACAATTTCTAAGCAATCACCCCAAAAGCCATTATCTAATATGATGGCAGTAACAATTATTCTAGCTTGAGTCTTTGACAATTTGTAATCCAAAAAGTAATTATCAGTCACCAAAGCTTGCAAGTCATGCTTATGCATATATATGCTATGCAACGTGATAAATGTAGTAGCAAATCTTATTGCACCAGGACGTACAATTTCTTTCCAACCCGATCTTTTCCTAAGCCATGACAAGAAGATCATATGATTATAAAAAAAACAGTTATCTTTGATGCCTTAGTTGCAAGTGCTGACACATTGTTTAAGCTTGTTATATCTTTTAAAGTAAGGTTCAAATAATAAGCAGCACAAGGTGACCAATAAATATTTTTATATTTTTCCTTAATCAACTTGCCACATGCTACATAATTTATAGCATTATCAGTCACCACATAAACAATGTTCTTGGGACCAACCCATTCAATCACTTCACAGAACAACGAGAACAAAGTCCTAGCATCTTTTACCAAATCTAAAGCATCAACAGATTTCACAAAAACCATTCCATGTGTAGAATAGACTAAGAAATTAATCAAAGTTTGTTGCCTCACATCTACCCAACCATCAGCCATGAGTGTACATCTAGTGTTTTTCCATTTAGCTCGATGACTCCCAATAAGTAATTGACATTCTTTTTTTAATCTGTCAACAAATTGACTCTAAATTCATAAGCATTAGGGGCTTTGAACCCTGGCCCAATAGAAGCAATAGCATCTATGGCTTTTTGAAATGAAGGGCAATCTAATGCATTAAATGGAATGCAATTGATGATAGCCCATTCAGCAATAGCCATTTTTGCATTGTATTATGCTTCTTTTGTTGCAAACATACTCTTGATACTAGGCTGGGAACCAGGAGTTGTCCTAGGGGTAAAATAATTCTCAACTAAAACAGTAGAAGCTTGCCTCTTATTGGCACCTGTCTCAGGGACTATCTTAATTGGAGTAGGAGCAATTGGATCATTAGTTTTAAGGTCCCCTATGTCTACTTGTTCTTGTTCTTGTTCTTTTCTATCATCAACCTTCCTTTTTCTCCCACCTTTCAAAGACTCTACCATCCTGTGACGTATATCATGAGGAACTTTTTTACAAGAAGTTACTTGACCACTTAAACCAACAAGATATTGCTTCATTTTGTTAATCCCACCTCTTCCATAGCTTGATGCACAATAAAGGCAAGTATATATATATATTTTTATTGCCTTCTTTTCTTAAGGCAACATGTGCCCAAGTAGGATCAGTTTTTCCACACATAGATGGGACCTCATATGTTGAATCATTACCATTAGGAGGGGGATCATTGGAATTGGAGGTAGGATTCTCATTTCTAGGACTACTAGGATTACTTCCAATATCCATGATCAATGCAATAATTATATTTTAACCTGCAAGCTAAAATAATGACTAAGCTTCAATTTCATTTTTCCACACAAATGCTGATTAGTCATATTCAATGCTGACTACATAGTTTTCAGGTTTGGCCACAAAGAAAGAAGGAAAAATAAGAAGCTAGATATGCCCTATCTATAACATAGTGCAATCCGTAGTTCAAAATTAAGATAGAAAATCACAACATTTTTAAAATGCACACACAATACGAACCTGAGCAGAGGATATAACATGTGCCTTGAGATTGCAATCTATATAATAGCAATTCACGTGCAAAGATCTCATTTTCCCAACCAACATATATAACCCCCAAATCATAAACAAGATAAATAGATCACAGACTAGGAAAAGATCAGGAAGCGCCATCCATAATCCCTATTTAATTTTAAAGGGCTTGGACATAATCGATCTACAAAGTCATGAAGCATAGGTTTGAGCTGTCAGATTCAATTATTCAAAGTCCTCTCCATACTTACTTGAAATATTAAACAGAACCATAAACTGACATTATATTATCAAACAAGATCAAACACAAAATAATTACCAGAAGAAAGCCTAGATCCACAGATGATTATGAAACTAAACCAGTCCATACATATAGCTTCATTTCCCAAGCAACATAAAAGCACAGATCAACAGTAAAGAAACCTTAAAACCAGAAAAACACAAAACACCAGAAAGTTTCACACATACAAAATGAGCTGCCGAACAAGCAAGATTCAAGAAACAAATCACGAGCAACAGAGTCGACCACTTAAGCTGAATCACGAAACAAAAAACAGAGTTGAGCATGATCAACAGTGACTAACCTGAAGCAAAATGCGAGCTGCGTACACTGAGCTGTCATGAACTGACCGGCTGAGATTTCAGATCGATTAGGCTAAGAGATGAAAGTCGTACACTGAGCTAAAGGAGAGACCGAACAATAGAGATAGAGAGGGAGAATTGGAGAGGACGGATGGTCGGAGACAGGGAAAGGTGAGAGAGGAGGGTCAGAGAGTCGTACGCCAATTAGGGCGAGAGAGAGGAGACAATCACAGTGAGACGCAGACGAAACTCACAAAAGGGAAAGCTTATGCTGAGTGTCTGGCGTCTGTGTCTGCAGCTCTAGATTTGGACCAAAAGAAAGTAAAAAAAACAAATCCCCCAAAACGACATCGTTTTGGGGCTTTTGTCTAAAAAATCATGACCCGGTTAACCCAGTCAACCTACCGAGTTATACCGGGTTGACCCTGGGTTGACCGGGTTACACCAATTCACTCCCTCACCGGTTTAGGGGTAAACCCAAACCGGACAAGGGACCGAGTCACCGGTTTTCGGGTTGACCCGGTCGGTTCGATTCGATTTTCAATACCATAATTTTGAATGAATGAATGCTTTTCTGACTGTGTCTGTTGGTTGGGTTGACCGTTTATGTTTAACCCGCACCAACCCCTCCTGACACACTCTCTCTTCCCTTTCTCAACGGTCTCCCTCAATCCTCTTCCTAGTTCCTACTTCCAACGTCTATGTTATTCCCATTCAAAAACACTCAACCTCGGTCGAACCCAAAATCTCGTTCAAATCTCATCATCATGTGATCAACTTCCGTTATACTTGCTTTCAAGGAGTGTATATAGAATCAATAATTTGAACAAAATCCTATTGATCAGCCCAAATTTATTCAAAAAATATTAATTTTTTATTATTTGAGTTTATTCGAACAGCCTGATTAAGCCTAAAAAAATTTGAGCCAAGCTCGATCAGTTCGAGCTTGACTCAAATACCCAAATAAAATTTTTTAAAAAAATATATAAAATTTAATACTCTCTCCATTTAAAAATGTAAGATATTTTTAGTGTTTCGAGATATAATCATTGTCTTTTTTTAAAAGTGCCCCTATTGATAGTGACTTTATATTTATTATAGGGTATTTAATAGAGGTAAATACGAAAAGATAAAATTAATTTAAAAGTAAATAACTACTTTATTACGGATGAGAATCGATTAAAAATGCATTATATTTTTTAACGGATGGAGTAAACATTAATTAATTCTTTAAGTTTTATATTATTTTGTGCTAAAATATTTTATATTTGAGTGTATTACTATAGTTATTTTTTAAAAATATTTATATTTTCATTTTTTATTATTTTTAATCAATAATATTTTAAGACCCAATTTTTTTAAAAAAAAAGTTGAGTCCTATACATCATTTGCTTATCAAAAAAATATATTTTATATTTTTTATAAAATAAGATAATTAATTTTAAAAATAAAATTTGGTCATCTTCAAATTCTTGACTCTACTACTAGAAAAATAATATTAAATAGAACAATATTTTTGAATAATTATTTGGCTATCAGCCATGCTAGACTTGATTGAAAATTAAAAATAAATTAGAGTAAATATCCCTTATATGTAGGGGTTAAACAATATAAAAGTTAAAGAAAAAATAATTCTAAAAAAATAATATTTTAATTATAATTAAATAATTTTTATATAATATAATGATGGCTATTTTCTCATATTTTTAAAAATAAAAAGTATAATTTATTCAAAAGTTATTAAAAAATTTAGACTAATCGAGGCAATAATTTTAAGTTAGTGATCTAACTGTAATTGAATTGAGATTAACTTGATGATAATTAAAATAATATAATTTAATTAAAATATAAAATATTTATATGTGATTATAATAAGAGCAACATTTAAACAACTAAGACATTAATTTACAAGTAAAGAAAACATTCAAGAATAAAGTATACATAATACAATAAGATAGTAACAAAGCTACTTAAATACAAAGTTGATGAATTATTATTTTTTATTTTAAATTTAAAATAATATTTTATGCTTAACAAAATTATTTAAAAATTTAAATTGGTTAAAAAATAAAGAAAAAAATATTTTTTAAAAAATTTTAGGTATTTGGGCCGGTCCAAATAAACCCGAAAATATTAGGATTGAGCTTAATTATATAAGCTTTTTAGAAGAGATAGGATATTTTAAGCCCGATTTGAATAAGTTAGGCCTACTTGAATTACCGGCTCTAAGTGTTTATGACCAACCAAATACTCCCTCTATTTTTATTTATAAAAAAGTAAAATTCTATCACATAATTTAAAAAAATTAATTACTTGTATTAATTGTGTTTGAAGAAAAAAATTAAACTACAATACCCTTAATTAATTGTGTTAATCAAGTTTTCATTAATTATTTTTATGATTATGAATGATAAAATCATGAAGAGTAATTTAAAAAGTTTATAATAAATATTTATTAAAAAATATGATTTTTTATATAAAAAAATAAGTCAAAAGTGATAAAAAGAGAGTATATAAAATGTTGCCTAATGCTCTTGTAACTTCCTTTTAGACTTCTCTCAATGTTTTAAGCAATGTCATCTTTTTTTTAGGACTGTATTACTAAAGAGAAAAAAAGCGAAGGCCCTGGTTTCAGAAATATCAAAAATCAAAATATCACTTTCCTTTTAAAAGTCACTTGGGGTGTTATCATAAAGCCCAATCACCTTTGGGTTTGGGTACTTTACTATAAATACAAATGTAATAGGCAAACTATCTTTATAGTCTTCAATTCCAGCACCTTTTATATCTGGATTTGTACTTATAAAGTTTGGACTGCCTTTAAAACTCGTGCTAGTTGGAAAGCCGACAAAGGATATCAAATATTATTTTAGTGTAATAAGCGGCCTACTCTCTCTAAACCCCTTGTTACTTATGCCCCCTTAAAGCTAATGCCATTTTATATACTAGAATCTTGAATTTTCACTCAACAACAGGTGGATAGAATGTTAAAAAAAATAAAGTGTTATCTTCATTTTAATGTGGTTAGTTTTGTTTTACTTATTCAACCTCTTAATCCTCTGTGAAGAGAATGATATTATTGTTTAGAAACTTTTTTTTGATGATAACTTCTCTATTAAATCTACTTATAAAGTTTTTGAAAATCATTAAAGAAATACCAATTTTAAAATTTGGAATAAAATTGCCTACTTATGAAAAAGTTATATCCTTTTTATTGGAAAGCAACATGAGAACTTCTCAACACCAAATTTGTCAATGTTAGTGATTCAAACATTTGCATGAGAACCTGCCCCTTTTGTTGCCATCCCCGTGACTCCTCTATCCACATATTGTGTGATGCACAAAGTCAAAGGAAGTATGGATGAAATTGGTTAAGT